CAACTCAGTCATCCTTCCCATCGACAGAAACCGCCCTCTTAAGGATTTCGAGGCTCGAGATAGTGCCTCTTTCGCCAAACTCATGGATAACCACGCACTAGTCGACACTTTTTGTGCACTACATCCCACGCCTACTGACGTCTTCTCCTTCTTTGGGAGGCAACGTCAGAATAGTGCGACACCGCCTACCTCCTCCCGACTCGACAGGATATACATCTCTCGGGCCTTCGTACCCCGCCTTGCTGCAAGTCCGTACATCCAAACCCGCACGGCAATCACGGACCACCTCTACGCCCCTCTCTGCTCGCTCAGCTTCATCAATCCCACAGTTGCCCCCCGATCCTGGCGCCTCTGACAGCATCTACTCATGCGCCCCCATGTCTCAGAGATCATCGACTCTGCCCTCGCAATCTTCCCAAGCACCCCTTCCCCGGACTCTTGGGACACATGGAAGCTCGACCTCACCCTTAACCTCAAGCGCTTCTCCAACCAGGAGAGACGCCGCGTCGATGGCACTATCGCACATTTGGAACACACCATAGGCTCACTACAGCGGCATGCTGCGTACACGCCCCTGACTCAGGCCTAGGCTAACCGCCTTGACCAAGCAAGACTCCATCTGGCCAGGTATGAAGCCTCGAAAGCCTCCGAGATTGCGCTCAAGGCCAAGCTCAAAGTGGAAGGGCTCAGAGAAATGGGAGTCTCCTCCCTTCTCTCTGGCCTCAACTCGCGAATCAAGGGCTCAATCATCAGCTTCCTGACCTTACCTAATGGACAAACAATGTCGGACCTCCCCACCATGACCAGCTTGTGCTCTAACTTCTTCCAGACACTCTATAGCGGAAGCAACCCCGACACCCCTAACACTCCCTTCTGGCAACACATCCCCCCCTCCTCCATCCCGAACCCCCTACTCCTACGCCTTGGCGCCCCCTTCTCCCTAGCCGAAATTGGAAAAGCACTGCTCTCTCTGTCTCGAGGAAAAACCCCCGGCCCATACGGCCTTCCCGGGGAACTCTTTCGGCAATTCGCCCCGCGATTTGCACCGGTCTTCCACTCCCTGCTCTCCCCACTACAGCCTCTCTCTCGCCTACCCCCGTCCATGCTGACCGGATGTACTGTCCTTATCCCCAAAAGGGATGACTCCTCGCTAGTAGAGAATCTCCGCCCCATCATGTCAGTAGATCTGCACTGTGGATGCCCGATTGATCCTGGAGAGGGTTACAGGCGCGTTCGCCTGGGGGGTTATGGGCGCACTGACCCGCTACTGAAACAAGCCCTTTTATCCCAGTGGTCTAGTGGTTGGGATTCTGACACATCACTCTCATGAGCGCTGATTACTAAGTACTCGCTCTGTGTCTTGCTAACTGCCTTCAGCTCGCTCTTCCTCAGCTCATCCACCCATCCCAAACCGCCTTTATTAAACCCCGGAAAATCAAAGACACAATCAACGATACCCTCGACATCATGGACTGGGCAACCTTCACCTCGACCCCTCTTCTTGCTCTTATGGTGGACTTTCGGAAAGCCTATGACCTTGTTGATCGCCCTTTTCTCCTCCAAGCCTTGGCGGTCCTCGGGCTCCCTGCACCCTTCATCCAATGGGTACGACTAATGCACTCCAACACGAACACATGAATCTCCGTCAACAACATGCTCGGACCCACCATCCCTGTCCGTACGCGCATCCGACAGGGCTGTCCTCTGGCACCTCTACTTTTCGTCTGTCTCATCGAGATCTTTCACCGCTACATGTCCCTCTTCCTCCCTGGCTTCGCTCTGTCCCCCGTTCAGCACCGACTCATGGCATGCTACGCCGATGATGTCACTCTCTTCCTCACCTCAGACACAGAGCTCGGCCTTGCAGTGATACTCCTAGGTGTTTTCGGATCCGTGTCTGGGGAGGTCCCCAATGGGAACAAATGCTCCATTGTTCCTTTCAATATCCCCCCCACTGACCTCGTGCACGCCAGACCTATTCCCGTCCGAGCCCCCAATGAAGCAGAACGCATCATTGGAATTTACATTGAACGACTACACCCCGGATCCACCACCTGGACTAAGACTTTTGCCCGTATACAAAGCACCGCCAAATTCCTGGCAGCCTTACATGCCACTGTCACGTGCCGCAAATCTCTGTCCTCGATCTTTCTGAACTCTGTCGTCTCCTATCCTGGCTGCTTCCAACCTGTACCACCCGACACCATCAAACGACTAGACATATCCGTTGGAAACTTCCTCTCATCCTCGAAACATAAACAGGACGGCCTCGCACAACGCTTCCTCCCCAAAGGTCTCCTTTACAACTCACCCCAAAACGGCGGGGTTGGGGCGATCGCCCCATCTACCCAAGTCAATGCCCTCGCTATCCAGCATGCCCTGCTCAGATTTGGACCCACCCCGTCCGAGGAAGTCACACGTACCCTGACCCCGTTCCCCTTCGGGCTTCACGGTCTGCTCTCCCATAAAGCCATCCTTGAACGCGACTATCTTCCCTCCTTCATCCCCCCTCGGGCACTGGACGAACTTAAAGCCCTCCTCTCCCTCCCCCTGGTAATTCATGCCCCCCCCCCTACGCATGCAATGCATCCTCACCGAACCTCTCGCCTTCAACCGCTCGCTCCTCAAACCCGACGATCGACCTTTCGGCACCCGTCAACACGAGCGTTTCCTGGTTACAAGTCAGCTCCGCATCGGACACATTGTCCGAAACACCAACTTTGACGTTGGCCCCATCTCTGCTCAAAAGTTATGCTCTCAAGTCCCGGAGGAGTTCCACGACGACGCAACACACATCCTCCCATATCTCATCAATGCTATCAAGCCTCCCTGGTGGGCCGCCTTCCGAACCCCTCACGCCTCCTGTGCCTCCTTAGGAGACTGGTTCATGCTCTCGGACGACCACTATTCCATCTCTCATCTAGCCCTCCATGTCGTCGCCTACATCCCCCCTTCTTCCGTCTCGGCTAATGTCCACCTCGTCTCGCCAGAACATCGCATCACCCACACCCCAGCAAATACCGGACTCTTCCGTTTACAAGACCTCGTAGAGGTGCACGTCAGGGACTGGTGGCTCGCAGGGCCATTTCACACAAGGGCAGGGTTAGGAGCTAGGGTAGAACTTCTACAGGACGGCGTCCCCAGCCTCGCCGACATCCGCCGCCTCCTCTACTCAGCACAGCCGCTCACTCACCACAGCCAATGGACCCACGAACTCACCCTTCCTCGTCCTCCTCTCCCTGGCCTTAAGGACCCCTTTCTCAAAGACCAGCCGAGCCGCCAACGGGACATCCTCTTCAGACTCTACACACTCACCCTTCCCTCTGGATCACGCTTCCAATACTTTGACGATCGAGGGGTATGCCCCCGGTGCCCAGCTGCCGTCGTCGAGACACTGCCGCATATCTTTTTTGAATGCTTCTCCGCCGGAAATGTCATCTCGGCCCTCCGCACAATCACTGACCGCCACCTCGGACAAACCACCCCCGGCGAACACATATTTTTCCCGATACAGTCACGGGTTGGACAGTCCCCCCCTTGGAGTCTACTAGTTGGAGCTGCAATGAAGACGCTGTGGAACAGCCACTGCGACCACAGATACCGCAACTCCTCCTCCTCGAGCTTCGAGATCCTGCAGCTGATTCTAGCCCAGTTCCTCATCGCCTTCAAAATTTATATGTGGAGAGGCAGACGCCAATCTGCCAAGAAGCGTCAACGCATATCCTCTAGCATCAGGCGAGCACAGAAACTCCGATTCCTCCTCTTCGACATAACCGGTACACCCTCCATTCACCTCGACCTCAGATTCTCATGGCTTCTGGGAAACCCGTTCCGACCACCGTAGCCAGCCATCGCATAGAGCGTCTCCCCAGGCTGCTGGCGATTGTCCGTTAGGACAAGGAATAACGTGTGTTCCACGTGCTCCTTTTCAGGATGCTGGCCACCTCGGCCATGTTTCTAGACAGCTCTATGGTTTAATCTTTGTACATTGATTAAGATCAATATATAACCTCAAATCCAGTAATTTCGGGGAGTCGTTGGCCAATCACCCTTCCACCTGCTCTGCTGCCTGAAGGCCTGGAACTTTGTCGCTATTGGCTTTGCCGCCAGTCGCATGTGATTCATTCGCAGCCTGCAGCATCGCAAACGTCGCCTCGTGGGCGAGAGGTTTTCGCAAAGTAGCCAGACCAGATCTCAACCGTAATTTCGTGCTTGAGGTTAGAGGAATAGTTAGAAATCAAGTCACATTGCTCTAGGAATTAGTCCGACACGCGATATTCCTTCCGACTAGATAAGTGATTTCTTTTCAAAGGCTGTGTTACAAGCCGTTCATTTCCTGGAGTCGTGCGGCCCACGGAGCGATAGGCCACCAGAAGTGAGAATAAAAGGAGAGAGAAAATAAGCAAGTCGGCACTGCGTTAGTCGTCTGGCTACGGTGGCATCGTTTGCGACAGGTCAGGCGACGGGCGAAGGCAAAGGGTTAACATAATATTGAAAGGACTAGCGTGAAGGGCCGGTGGCACGTGGCAGCTGACAGGCCTCGCGTGACACGAGACAGGTGGCAGGTGACAGTTGGCAGGTAACAGGTGACGGGGGCGCTGCGATGGATGCGGATGAGAGTAGCGGGATCGGAGGCGCTCCGTGGAGCACAAATCTATTCGACTGTTCGACTGACCCCAAAAGCTGTGAGTGTGGCGCAATAGGTCGTTACTCGGAAGCTTCAGGTCGCTTTGAGCAGCCGACGTGGATATTCATGTATGCTTGAATAACATGGAATGCACACCGCCCCGCTGCTGAGATGGCGCATTGTAAGTTGCGATGGATACCTCCCCGCCAGCTTGGCTTTTGAGTCGCGTTTTAGCCGTTTATCCGCCTTGAGTATTCTTAACGCCGCAAAACTTTCCAGTCCTTTTTTCGTCGCATGCGCGTTTTATGATCGCAACGCCGGTTCCATCGTAACGTGACATGCAATGCCACTCTCCGCAACGCCACTCTCGGCAATGCCACGTGTACGCATGCAGCGCATCCACGCCTCTCCATTCCCGTCCGATGCTGCTGCGCGGAGCATGCGTGGTTCCATAGCCTTGACGTTGCAGGGTATTTTTGAGAAATTTTAAAAGTACCATCCGTGGTTCCATTTCCATAGCCTCGCCCCGTGTCACTCCCACCGTAACTCGCCGTCCCGCACACAGCAGAAAGATAGAACAGCCCCCCTCCCTCTCCTACCATTCATAGCAACCTGCATCTGCCCACAGCGGCACTTCGGTCAAACACGTAACCTTTTGTATCCCGGTGTCTCCACTGCCCCTGCGCAGGTTACCTCGGTTGCTTCTGCCCCTGCGTGCTGTTCGGCCAGGTAAGCTCCACCTGTGGCTCCTTTCTTCCTGGTGTTCTCCGTCTGTCATCTTTTCTTTCCGCCGCCCTTCTACCTCAACCCTTCAGCTGCAATCACCTCCCATTGCCGCTTCTGTGACCCCCTAGCAACGCACTCACTCTTGGCCTTCCAGTCTCCGAAGCCCTTTCCTCACCTCCCGCCACCCAGCTCTTGGATTCAGTCTGTTTTTTCTGCTGAGCTTATAACCAGCCCCTCCTGACCCAAACCTGCCCTTCAGCCTTATCCGGTCACGCCCTTATTCCAATGCTGCTCAGCTCACTACCACCTATCCTAATCCACTCGTAACTGTTGCAGTGGCCTGCCTCTCCAGCTAGCGTTCTTCTTCTTTCACGCCACACCTCTTACTCCTCTTTGCCCTCCTCCTTCCTCTTTTCCCATACCACCATTTGCCCCTTCCATCACTCCCTCACCCATCCCTCGCCGCCTCAGAACGTTCAACGGCTGCATGGGCGGCAGTGTTTTGGCCCATGTGTGATGCATTGTCTGCTGGGCGGCTGCATTGTGCTGGCAGCATACAGCACCCTCGGCCCCGCTGCCTTCTGGTGCACGCCCATTTCCTGCTATGCCTGCAACTACCGCTCAGAGCTCCGGGCAAAGTACCACCTGAAGGTATCCATCCATGCTTCCCTGCTGGACTCTCTACTAGTTGTATTTCGCTTGTTCTTGGTCCATATGCCTACTGGTGACCCTTATAAAAGGCCAGCACCATCCATCCAAATGCCTACTGGTGACTCTTCTTACCTGCTCCGTGCTTCTCTCCTGCGCGTTCCGGTTTGCCTCTTGTTGAGTCAGCATCCATTTGGATTTGCTGGTTCTTCCTCTCTCTATCCGTGTGATTTACTTGTGTACACTCTCTGGTTTCTCTGAGCACACAAGCCGGTATACATGGCATAGCTCCTTGGTTACTTCAGTTTCTTTAAAACCCATATGGGGGGGTCATGGAGCTGCTTCACTGTGCTTGCATAAAGGCTGATGGGCATTGTTTGCATGGAGCTACTGGAAGCCTTGTCAAACCCTATTTGTTCTTGTGCCATGTGCCGTATCGTCATTCGCAGGCTGAGCCCGCAGGTGACTGTCCGACGCACTTCCTCTGCCACCCCTGCGCCCTCTGCCAAGAGCACAGAGAGCTACAATCGCGTCCCAAACCCTCTGGGCTGGACTTCTATGGTGGGCGTTCAGGAGAGATTGTTGAGCTCACTGCACCCTCACCAGTGGGGAAAATGGAGTCTGTTTTCTCCTCATGATTTTTCAACTTATCAGATTAACAACATATTTACATGCAAGTGACGGCACTGTAACAGCTTGCAAGTTTTATATCCGAAAAGACGCCTTTCACTAAACCACCAGTTGCATAGCAGAAGTGTGCGTTTTTCTACTTGGGCAGCTGTGCAGTCACTAGTTTCGTGATAGTTTGCTTGCTAATGCATTTGGTGCATGGCCAGAAGAGAGTGTGGAGAACAGGCATGATACATGCACTTCATTATGATCGTTATACCATAGTTTCCATGTTCTTAGAAGTGTGTCAATTGCATACCCAAACATTTCATAACGAGGTCTGAATCTAGCTTAGAATCAAGGCTTTCGGCTTTTCAAGGAGATCGCAAGGGCGTGTTTTCCAGTGACATCTAGCATGTACCAAACTTGGAACTCCCGTATCTTATCGACCATTTCATTTTCGCAGGCAAATTTCTGTGAACTAAGCAGACACAAATCCTGAAACCACGCTGGTCTCGGAGAGGACACCCGCCTCGTTGCGCAAGCGAATGGGAGCTTCGCCCTTGGGCTGCTTGATGGTGATGGTGACCTCGTTATGAAATGTCTGTGGGGTCGGCCATGCTCTCACTGTCGTGCCACATCAAGTCCTCGCACTCCACTGGCCCACCCAGAATTCCCTGTGAGTGCTGCTCCCCCCCCGCTCACCATGTTCTCGCTTCGCTCTACTCTTGCAGCTCCCCAATTAGGAGCCTCGGTAACGCTGCACCGGGAATCACGGGTTCTCCGCCCACCGCGACGTCTTCCTTGCTTATGCTCCACGCGCGCTGCCGTCTCCGCTGAGAGGCCTTACACGAGGTAACGACTCTACGGCCCTTCATGCCACATTTCTGGTTGCTTTCAGAAGTCTTTCCAGCTTTGGCTGTACTGCTTAGAAGTTCAGAGACGCAGCACTCAGGCTTTCGAGATTGCGCTGCAAGTGCCGGGTATATCCACGTTACGCAACTTAGCTCATGTGTGCCCTCACATTCTTCAGAGCCCTGCAATGTCCTATCATCTCATTGTCGTCTCATTGTCCTTAGCACAGAACTCCCCACAGTCTTGTTATCGCACTGGACGTACCGAGCGTCTGTTCGTTGCACCGCGCCTCAGCTATTCCTTATCCACCATCCTGGTCCCTCGCAGACGGGAATCTGGGCTCGGGACCCAAACATCGTCTCAAGTGCAAAATGCTTTGCCTCGCCTGTGCGCCGTAACTGTGCTTCTCGCGGCACTGGTGGTGACGCCACTGGGGGAAGTAGCGGAGGCAGCGGAAGGCGGAGGTCGTGTTGGCGGTCAGGTGTTTCAGCGGTCTCAGAAAGCCAAGGATCGAAAACCAGACAGCTCACGGACGGCCAAGTCGCCACCACCTCAATCGAAGAGGTATGTGGGAAAAAGGGTGATTGTCGCTGATGGGTGCATATTGGTCAGTTCTTTTTTTGTATCTGCTGTTGCTGAATACTCTCAACCCCTTCTGAATAAAAATATTTCCCATACAGGTTCTTTTCAATCTCAAGTATTATGACGGCACCTACCCTGCACATCTGATACCCTGCACATCTGATACGCTTACATGCAAATTTACAGGTTTATTATCATGAATAGAACTTATGACAACACAAGTTTTTTTCTCTCTTATGACATTCATCGACAACTAGTCAGTGGTTTTGCAACACTACATACTGCAAACAAAGTCCAATGAGGAAGGCATGCTAACCATAGAGCTCTTCCAAACTAAAGAGCGCCATCTGAACGGTCTTCAGCGTACCAGCAGAAGCACTAGCCGTAAGTATCCCTATATGCTGAAACCTTCAAGCTCCGCGCGTTCACAGCCTCTGAGCGCCAACAGCCCAACCTTTGTGAACCCCCCCCCCCCCACGGCTTCACGTGCGGAGATGAATCACTTGGGCATTTTTTTAATAGTTTGAAGGCCATAATTCGCTGCAGCAAAAACCGCAGCATGAACCACCACGGACGACGCTGGCACCCGGTTAGGAGCCACGTCTACAGAGCCCTTGTCTCCTGGGATTTGCAACAAAAAGCCAGGAGATAGTGCGACGAACAGAGCCGTGGGGACGATGAGCGCTGACGCATTCATGGCTGCAGGAAGAGAACGAGGACGAGAAGCACGAGCAAAAAAATGAGATTGCCGAATCGTTTCAACACTGAGACTCACGGTTAACAGAGATGGCAAGAAGAAATATGGAGTTCAAGGGCTTATGGGGGTGGAAACAGGCGACGCGGGTCCCCATGGTGAATAATCGCGATTTCTTGCGATATCGAGTCGCATATGCATGTCCAAGAGGCGTGGACAGCGAAAGGCATGTGACACGTGGAGAGTCTGAGCAGGAGATGCAAGGGACCAGCCGCCATGCATGCCAACAGTAAAGTCCTTGCAAGACATCGAAAGGCGCCCCAAACCCAGGTAAACACTGAGGGGTTGCCAGTTCGTACGCCTGTAAGGTCCTAGTGGTATACTATATTGTGTCTAGGTACCACGTAGTACACATAGAATACCACCTTACACCATATGCGCCCTCCATAAGCCACTGAATATGGATATCTCTTGGCTTGGAATCTTTACATATTTACAATTATCCTGTTTCCCATATTTCAAGAAAATCGAAAGAGTAAAGGAAACAAACAAGATTCTTTCTCATACTGTTTTGATGTGCATAGGAGAAGCATCTAGGCAAAATACGGTACCGTACATGCAAGCCATTCAGATATTATAAGCTCTCCAAATGTAATGAAGTATGTAAATTCCACTTTGTTTCGACTAACATAGCACCGCATGAGACTAGGACCATAATGAACCTTATGCAAAATGATATGATCAAACTGGTATGGCTTTCCCAGAAAGCTACTTCAATTTGAATAGTGGAAACGTAATGGAAGGTAGTTGCTTGAAGGTCAATATTTATAATATATGAAATGACGTATCCACTAGTCCGTTTTTGTGTTCTTGTTATGGGTGCAATGTGTGTAAATGAGTAAGCAGGAATGAGGTGAACTATGAATGAAAGCAGTACAAATGTGAAACCCTAACTGGGTTGTACCCCCTATGGGATACCCCACTACAACCTACGCAGCAGTATAAGCTATAGATATGTTCTGACACACCCCCATAGGCAAAGTGGGGGAGAACAAGGGGTCACAAGACCAGTCAAGCAAGACAAAGCAAAGCTCAGGGTGGATCACAAAGTCACCACACAGTCCGAGCACAAGAGCAAGGCCAAAGGCCAGTTCACAAGCAAGAGTACAGACATATATATATAAAACTAGACAAGCAAGAGCAGGTATATATATATGTCACAGTACAAGTAAAGTCAAGAGGAGAGCAAGTGAGGCAAGACAGGCACAAGACCCAGCTGGGTGCAGAAGCGCTGATGGTCACAAGGCGCAAGTGCCTTGGTGAACACATCAGCAGTGTTGGCCTCAGAGGCCACGTACGCAAGTCGCAACTGACTACGCTGCTGCAACTCACGAGCAAGGAAGTAGCGGAGAGCAATGTGCTTCGTTCTGTGCTCCAATCGCTGCTCTCGACACAAGGCCAGCATAGCCTTGTTGTCTACGTACAGCACTGGAGGAGAACGAGGCGGCTCTCCAAGGTCAGTCAGCAGGTAGGTGAGCCAGCGAAGCTCCTGTGCAGCCATGGCTCCGGCGTAGATCTCAGCCTCACAACTGGAGCCGAGAACCAAAGACGAGCGAGTAGACCGCCACGAGACAGAGCCGGAACCAAGGCTGAAGGTGTAACCCTGTGACGACCGCTGCGTAGCCTGGTCGTCAGCCCAAGAAGCGTCCGCGTGGCCGGTAAGGACCACTGCACTCCGCCCTCCAAGCACTAGCCCCATGCCTGACGTACTGCACAGGTAGCGCAATACCCTCTTCGCTGCAGCCATGTGCTCCGGTCTGTGTCTCCCAGGAGCAACATAGCGTGCAAGAATGCTCAGAGGGTATGCAAGGTCAGGTCGTGTGCAGGTCATCAGGTACATGAGGCAGCCAACAAGCTCTGCATACGGACCACTCGACTCTACGGACTCATCCGAAGGCAGAGCTGAGAGTGAGTGGCGAGTAGGCAGAGGAGTGGCCTGAGGCGAGGAGTACGTGAAGCCGAAGCGCTGAAGGACCTGCTGCACCATGTGTGACTGAGTCAAGGTAATGGTGCGGCGTGCTCTGTCCCGAGTGATCTGCAAGCCAAGGTAGCTGCGCAGTTCACCCAGGTCTGTGCACGTGTGTCTCTTCAGCAGCTCGGACTTCACGTAGGCGAGTCCAGCAGTGTCCGCTGTGGCAAAGACCAAGTCGTCGACGTACACGAGGATGTAGAACGGCGGCAGGGAAGTGTCGGTGCGAAGAAACAGCGACGGGTCAGCAGTAGAAGGAGCAAACCCAAGAGCCGCAAGCGTAGTCCTCAGTGTGTCGTGCCACTCACGCGGTGCTTGGTGGAGACCGTAGACTGGCCGTCTGAGGCTCCACTGGGTGCCAGGAGGGAAAGTCCCAGTGAAGCCAGGTGGACGGCGAAGCCAGATCTCCTCGTGCAGGCTACCCTGCAAGAACGCAGTGCTGAAGTCGAGAGAGTGAAGCTCGTAGTCGCGCTGAGCGGCTATGTGCAGCAGCACCCGAAGAGTAGTCATCTTCGGGGTGGGAGAGAAGGTCTGAAAGTAGTCAACTCCCTGCCGCTGACTGAAGCCACGAGCAACGTACCGTGCCTTGAAGACAGGTGGAGAGCCCGGCGGCCGCTTCACCCTGAAGATCCACATGCCACTGACGATGTTCGCCCCAGGAGGGGGAACTGCGTCAACGTAGGTGCCTGTGGACTTCCAGGAAGCCATCTCTGCATCCATGGCTGCCTGCCACTGAGAGGAGTAGGGGCCCTCTACGGCCTCCGCGTAAGAACGCGGAGTCGGGATGTCTAGTGCATCCGGGTCTCCCTCAGGGGCAAGCAGTACAGACGCGAGATGAGGTGAAGCAGCCGCTAGACACTGTAACTCCTCCTGCCTGTCCTCTAGGACGTCCGTGCCAAGAGCACACTCACCCCCGACGGACGGAGGACAGACAGACGCAGACTCAGTAACGAGACTAGCAGCGTAGTCGAGACGACAGCGAGCAGCAAAGTCGACGAGCTCAGCGACTAGAGCAGACGCAGCAGTGGACTCAAAAGAGGGGTCAGTGACGACAGTAGCAAGCAGACGCGTGACAGTAGGACTGGCAGCGCGAAGAGAGTCCGACTCAGGGTCGGCAAGCGCAGGAAGAGAGGACTCAGGAGGAGAAGGCAAAGGGGCACGCAGAGGAGCAGTGGACGGACGCAGAGACATCCGGTGCGTGCCAGGGACAGGAGGAGGACGCTGACGCGAACCGCGACCACTAGCGCGAGCAGCACGAACAGGCGACGCGGGACGAGACGCAGGCTCACGACGCTCAGCAAGACCTCCAGTAGGACCAGTGTAAGGAGAGGGAGCAGGCAGTGGAGAGGAAGGCTCCAGTAGGGACTACGACTGGACAGGTGGTGGACCCTCTACTGGAGGAGAAAGACCAAGAACCTGCTGAAGGAGCGGAACAAAGTATGGCCGAGGCCGCGCGGCAGCTCCAGTCTCAGCAGGGACAGCACCAGCACCCTCAGCGACAGCACCAGCGCCACCCACACCTCCAGCGGCAGGACCAACAGCAGCAGGCTCAGCACGAACGCCCTCAGCAGCTCCAGCTCCAGGAGGACCCGCAGGTCCAGCAGCTCCGGGACCGGCAGCACCCGCACCCTCGACGATCGAAGAAGCTCCAGCTCCAGCTCCAGTAGCACCTCCAGACTCAGCAGCACGCCTCCAGCGGCGAGCGAACCACTCGCGCAGCTCCTGTGGAGAGAGGGGCTCCCGGCGAGACGCAGCAGCAGGAGAAACCCCAGGCTCAGCAGCTCCAGACGCAGCACCCCCAGGCTCAGCAGCTCCCAGCTCAGCACCCCCAGGCTCAGCAGCTCCCGACCCAGCAACCCCAGACCCAGCACCTCCAGGCACAGCACCCCCCGGCTCAGCACCCCCAGGCTCCGCACCCACCGCAGTAGCACCCTCAGGCCCAGCACCCCCAGCAGTAGCACCCCCAGGCACAGCACCCCCGCGCACAGTACCCCCAGAGTCAGCACCCCCAGGCTCAGCACCCGCAGCAGGACCAGAGTCACCAGTAACCTCGACCGGGTCAACGGCGTCTACCTGGGACACACCTGAGGGGGCAGGAACCTGAGGGGGGAGGGGGTCTACCGGGGGGGGAACCGACACAAGGAAGTCCGGGGGAGGGGGGAGGGAAGGAGTGCGGTAGGGGAAGAGACGGTAGAAGGGGACTGACTCGTCGAACGTGATGTCCTGGGAGGACAGAACACGACGAGAGGAGGGGTGGTAAAACTGCCACCCTGGGGCGTCAGTGGGGAAGCCAAGAAAGACACAGGGAGCAGCACGAGGGGACAGCTTGTCCGCAGACAAGTCGCGGACAAACGCCCGAGATCCCCAGACACGGAACACTGACGAATCGCCAACCTTCCCTGTCCACAGCAAGACTGGGGACAT